AAAGTAAATAACACATTGTCATGAGCAAGTGGATTTATCCCAGGGATGCATGTTTGAAAACTGATCAATGCAATTCACCATTTTAACAATAAAAAAACCCCCCATACAATTTCCTCAATAGATACATAAAAAACACTTGCCATAACCCAACCTCTCTTTCTGATAAAAATCTCTCAGCAAACTATGACTAGAAGTGAACTTCCTCAATTTAATGAAGAACGTCTCTGAAAACCCTGCAGACGTGGTGGCGAGATACTGAATGCTTTCCCCCGAGACTGGGGGCAAGGGAAGGACGGCCACTTGTACCACGACTATCCAACGTTGTGCTAGAGGCCGCAGCCCGTGCAATAAAGCAGGAGAAACAAATGACATTCCGATTAGAAACGAAGACGTAGAATCGCCTTTATTTACAGGTGACATGATTGCCTGCGTAGAAATCCCATGGGATCCACGAAAACGCTCCGGGAATTAACGATGATTTAAGCAAGTTCCCAGGACACAAGCTCAATCAGAATCGAACATTTAAAAATCCCGTTTACGATATGCGATAACAGAGGCATGGATCTGGCAACAGGTGTGGAAAACCATACATTAAAAATGATGAAACGCTGATGACAGAAACTAGGGAAGACCTAAGTGGAGAGATAGACGGTATTCGTGGGTCAGAAGACTCAAGACTGTTAAGATGGCACTTCTACCTAAGTGGGTCTATGGATTCAACACAATCCAACTAAAATCTCAACAGGCTTTTTTTCTTTTTTTTGGGAAACTGACAAACTAATCCTAGAATTCATATAGAAATGCAAAGGACCTCAGATAGCCAAAACAACTTTAAAAGAAAAGAACAACTTTGAAGAACTAAGATGATCTAATTTCAAGAATTTATTATAAAGCTTCAGTCACTGATACAGGCAGTGTTTCTGTCAAGCTAAGCCGACGTGTCAATGGAGTAGAGCAGAGAGTCCAGAGATCGACTCACAGGTATCTGGGAACTTGGTAGGAAGAGGTTGGCATTATAACTCAGCGGAGAAACAGGCTGTTCAATGGATGACTTGGATATTAGGTTCTTTATGTGGAAACTACATAATTAGATCTCTACTTCACCCCAAACAGAACAGTACGCTCTAGAGGGGCTAAATCTAAATGTAGAAGAAAGACATGCCCTTCTTTATGACTCAGGAGGTAGAGAAGGATTTATTTCACAGGACGCAAAAGGCAAAATACTTAATGACAAAGATTGGTAAGTTTCACTACATGCAAAGCAGTGACTTTTGTAGGAAAAGAATACCATAAACAAAGTTAAGAGAAAAGCAACGGATCAGAAGAGAATGTTTGCAATACACATAAACACACAGAGGATAGGTAATAAAATTTTATCAGAAGCTCCAAGAAGTCAGCCAGAAAAAAGTCAAATAACCCAGTGGCGAAATGGGCAAAAGGAAGAACAGGCAATTCACAGAAGAGGAACGGCCAGTGGCCAAATGGAAGGATTGTCAACCTCACTAGCAACCTGAAACGCGAATGAAGCGATCCGCATAGAGCGGCCTGCCCGTCCACGTGCCATGTGTTTAAGTCAATTCCACGTGTTTCTCAGAATGTGACACACTATCGTCGTTGCTGGAACTCAGCGGGGTTACGTTTGGGGCGCCCGCTGAGGCTGGCTGTGTCCTCTTTTCCCACGATGGGTGGCAGTGATACACTGACTACTCCATGATGAGTCGAACTTGTCACCTTTGTGCACTATTCTGCACACGTACTGCACACCAATGAAAACAAAGCTGGGCCAACAAAAGCTGATGGAGACATGGCGTTTCAGGGACCACGAGAAAGTGCATGACTTACAAAGCAGCTGAGCCCCAGAAGCGGGCGTCATGGAAGTGAAGGAAGGCGCAATGGGCTGGCCCAGAGGGTCGCAGCTGCTGAGCCATCAGCTCAAGGAGGAGGCCAGTGACCAATCCATCCGCTGTCGGGAACAGGAAAGTCCTCGCCGGTGGGTGCGGGCTGGACCACAGAGTCTTTCCGGGGAGGAGGGGAGGGTGGCGGTAGGAAGCCAGCGGAGGGGCTCCAGCTGTGAGTGTGGATGGGGAAGGGGAGGGGGCGAGTGAGGACGTGTCCTTCCGGCACTCTGGCTGCGAAGGGGAGGCGAGAGCTACGCTGGCAGCTGGAAGGGGACATGGTCTCAGGCTTTTCCAGGGGGAGACCCAGAGGGACGTGGACAAGCTTCACCGTGTCACAGAGGTCCTGTCCACTCACGCTTCATCCACAGGCCTCCCTGCGCCCCGCTTTCTCCCCTCACCCACCATGACCTGCAGGCTCCATGGTCACCTGATCTTGTGGCTGTCGCCCCACTAGGAGGTCAACCCGATGCAGCGGGAGTTGTGCTGTCTCTACTCCATGCTGGGACCGTGTCTGCACGTAGCAGATGTTCAACAAACCTTCATCAGGAATGAGGGAAAGAAAGGGGAGGAGTCTGTACCGAGGGAGGCTGAGGGCAGAGGACAGAGGGCGGGATCAGGAGCTCAGCCTGGTGCCCCGGGTGGGGCGGGGGGGGGGGGGGGGGGGGGGGCGCCAGGGACAGACACAAAGACCAAAGGGGAAGCGATGGACGGCTGAGATTGGGAGGGTGCAGGAGGGCAAGGGAGGGGCCTTGGCTCTGAGGGGGGCACCTGAGCGGAATGGGGGGGGCACATGCGTGTGCGTGGGGGGAGGGGAGAGGGGCTGGTGCCCAGCCTTGGGGCCCAGTGAGGCCGGAGGTCAGCGGCTCCGGGGCCCCCAGCCTAGCTCCGACGCTGACTCGGGGTGGACTGCTGAGCTGTCCCGGAAGGCGGGGTGGTGTTCCGGCGCAGCTGACAGACGGGGTGAGGGGTCTCCCCAAGATTGGAGAGGAGCGGTAAAGGGCCCGAGTTAGGGCGAGGCCCAGCTTGATGACAACTGTGAGCATCCAGAGCATGGACGAGGCCGCCTCTGCGGACCCTGACACCCCGCGACCTGGGGAGGCCACCCCTGCGCTCGCCTGCACGGCCCAGGGGAGGCTGTGCTGGCCTGGGGCCCCCGTGGGCGGTGCTGGGCCCCAGCCTGCCTGTCTGCCCGTGTCTGAGGCTGAAGTCATTTTGCTCTGCTGAGCTAGAGGTGAGGAGGGTACAGAGAGGGTGTTGTTCGGGATGTGAGCTGTGGGGCCCCTGAGCAGAGCGGGCCTGGGGCAGGGAAGACATGGGCGTCAGCCTCCTGCGCCCCTCGAAGGGCCTCGTGCTCACCCGCTCCTTGCACTGAATCTGCACATGCGGGCGATGGGTGTGAGCAGGGCTGACCACCGGGCATGCGGGTGGGGCGCTGGCCTCCTCCCGGGACCCCCGCCGGGTCTGGCCCTTTCCATTCCGCCCTGCACGGTGCTGGGTGAGGTAGGGTGGGGGCGCCTTCGCCCCCCCAGGCCCATGTGGGGCCCTGACCGCTGGCTCCTGCTCCCCAGAGAGAAACCTCGGGCAGCAGCGCCGCCTTCCTCACTGTGGTAACCCCACACTCCCGCCCCAGCCCCTTCGGGACCCCTCCCCCCGACCCCCACAGTCCACAGAGCAACCTGGAGCCCCTGACCAACCAGCTCAGAGAGGCAAAGTATCACAGAACTGCCGAACGGGGGGCGATGGGCTCCACCGCCCACCCGGGGCTTCAGTCCCCCCGCCTTCTCCCGGCCCCCTCGGTCACCCACCCAAGGCAGTGGGCACCTGTCCTTCCCCCCTTTCCAGGGAGGATTTGCTAAGCCCGTAGGAAAATACCACGCGGGTTGATCCAGCCCCTCTCCTTGGCAGTCCCGAAGCCCCAGCCTGGGCCTGTGCTCTGTGCAAGGGACAGGCTCTGTGCTCTGTTCATCAGGCAAGGGGTCAGCCTGGAGGAGGCGGCCAGTCGATGAAGGAGGGGACAGATATTCCTGAGGGCTGTTCTGTGCCAGGCACTGTGCCCTGTGACCCAGGCTACACTGGTGACAAGGGCTGGCAGGCCGGGAGGTCCCTGCCTGGATGGGCCCAGGGAGGGACCCCCATCTTTAACACTGTTTTCGGAGTGTACCCAGGGCAGTTTCAACACTCTCTCTCACCAGGATGTAGGAAGGTGGGCATGAGGACAGATCCCGGAGCTCTGCCTGGAGGAGGCCAACTACCCCGGCCGTCTCATCCAGAGCTTTCTTTACCTTGCAGAGCGCTGACCGCTCCCGCTCCCCACCCCGGCTTCCTCCTGCCGCTCTGGTGTTGCGCTCCCTCCGGGGGACCCCTCCGTTCGTGTGCTCCCAACCCTCTCCTACCAGGGTTCCCCGTACTCCCCCTCCTGCTCCTTCCGGTCGCTGCCCTCTGCGCGGAAGCGGCCCACCTGCCCCCCCTCTTCTAACCCCCTCCAATTGGTCATCTCTCCCATGATTGAAGCACCTGGGAACTCAAGGTGCCCCTTCAAAGCGCAGCTGACCAGCGCCCCCGCCCCAACCTGACCTCTCCTTCTTCCCTCCTGAGCTGGCGCACGCGGGCACCAAAGGTGCCCACCCGCGAGGGCCAGAGCGCCGGGTGCCGCCTCTGCCGGGGCGCGGCTCCACCTGCGGGGTGCTGGGCGGCGGGCGCGCGGCGGGCGGCGGGGCCGCGGGGGCGGAGGAGCGGGCGGCGCGAGGGAGGGGCCTGCGACAGCGGCGGCGGCGGCGGCGGCCCCAGCCCGCGCAGCCCGGCTCGGCCTCGGCTTGGTCGGCGCAGCGCCGCGCGCGTCCCCTCCCGCCGCCGCCGCAGCCAGGCGCCCCGGCACCAGGCCGCCGCCGCCGGGCGCACGGACGCAGCGCGCACCGGCCGGGATGCGCGCCCGGCCCCCGGCCCGCCCCCACCCGCGGCCGCCGCCCGCCCGCCGCGCGCTCGCCTGACCGCGGCGCCCGCCCGGCTGCCCCTGTCCGTCCCCGGCCGCCCCCGGCCGCGATGCCCGCCCCCCGGGGCCCCGGCGGCCCGCGCCCTTGCTAGGCTGCGGCGGCATGGCCCGCGCGCCCGGCGCGACCTCTGCGGATTGCATCGGTGTGCGGCGGCGGGGCATGCCCAGGGCACCGGGCACGGCCTTCAATGGGCGAGGACACGGACACGCGGAAAATTAACCACAGCTTCCTGCGGGACCACAGCTATGTGACTGAAGGTAACGTACGTGTTGTCTGAGGCCCCCTCCGGCCGGCCGCGGCGTGGGGATGCCGTCGCACCGAGTGCCCTCCGAAGGTTTGGACCGCGCGCTGTGTGTCGTGTGCCCCCGCCCCACCCCACCCTTCCTACCCCGCTCCACCCCGGCCCGGGTCCGGGAGGGAGGGAGCCCCAGGGCCCCGGCCGCCGCTGCCCAGCCGCCCGAGGGGGCAGCGCCCTCCTCCGCGTCCCCCGGCAGGCGCGTTCCGCCCCCCAGGCCCGGGGGCGTCCCGATTCGGCCCTGGCCGTCATTTTTCAAAAGGCCATGCCTGCGGTTATTCTGGTGAAGAAATCTCGGGGAAATTTAATGGCTCAGAACCCCGGATTTGCCATTCCAGCCCTGCCCAAAGCCCGCAGAATTTTCTAGGCTGCCCACTCCCTGGAGACAAGAGGGACCCAGAAAAAGAAATGCGTTGCCGGATTCCCCCAAGAGGCTCGGTCCTCGCCCCGCCCTGTGCCTCCGGAGGCAGGGCCCCTAGTGGGTGGGAGAAGGCGGCTGGTTTGGGGTTGGCCTTTTATTCCTGGTGAATTATCCTGAGATAGAAGCAGCTGGCCCCAAACTGTCAGAATTTGCCAAGAAAAAAAAAGTGGGACATGCCACTCCAAAGGGCCCTGCATTTGAATTCCCCCAAATTGTCTCTACAAGCCCAAGCCCCACCCGGCCCAAGGCCGGTGGAAATCGGAGGGTCAACGCCTCTCTCGTGGGCCAGTAACTTCCAGGGGTCTCCGTGCGCCACCTCCACCGAGCCGGCCGCCGGTGGGGAGAGCTCCTGAGCCGCAGCCGGGGCCCGCGGAGAGAAGCCCGAGGGATGGGGCGAGCTAGCGCGAGGTGTCAGCTTGCTGCGGAGGGAACGCGTGCTGGGTGCCTGCCTGGGTCTGGGGACTGGATGCACCTTCCCTAGGGGCTGCTGGACCAGCTGCAGAAAAGTGTGGGATTTTGGCAAGAGGTCCTCATGGATGCCCCAGTGGGAGGGGCCCTGGGCAGGCACCCGTGGGGCTGGTGCGCCAGGCGCCTGGGTCGGGGAACCTGTGTGGGCTCCGCGGCGGCTACGGTGACTCGGCGCCTGGCTCCCGGGCGGTGTCCCATCGCGATGCTGCCTGGCTCGGCTGGAAGCGAGGGCGAGCCGGCAGCGGAGCCCTTCGGAGGAGGCCGGAGGCCGGGGCAGCGGGGTCCCAAGGCTTCCTGACCCAGAGAGCAGAGGCTGGGTGTGTAACCTGGGCCTGGGATGCTGTGGGGGCGCTCCTCGCTCCCTGCTCCCGGGAGGAGAACCGTTGAGTCATGCTCTGCTGCTGGGTGTGTGGGGAGAGGGGGCTGGGCTGCCCCGAGCTAGGGCTCTCTGGGGCCCAGGGGGCTGAAAGGCCCTTTGTCCCTTGCTTGGGTGAGATTGAGGAAGGATGAGCCTGTGTCTGGGTGTTTGGTGACTGGCAGAGGGCGAAAGGCTGCTGGGTTGCTGGCAGGAGCCTCAGTGGTCTGGCACCGGCCAGAGGGGATCTTGGCAGGCGCTCGGGTCTGGCCTTCCAGAGGAAGCCTCCGGTTTCCCATCTCCGCGTGGAGGATGATGGGACCCCGCACAGGGCTTAGTGATTAAAAGTAGAGAGCCCCCTGCCTGACCCACAGGGGACATTGGCCAACACCAGTTCTTTCTCCATCCTGTCTGCCCCTTTCTCCCAAGCAGTCACCAGCTCTTAGCAAGTGCGCAGTTAGAGCAGAAGTGATGGTTTTTAATTCCTCCCTGTTTATTCAACGAATAGTTCCTGAGCGCCTACTGTGTGCCAGCCACGGTTTCGGCCCTGGGGACTGGCCGGGGGTCCAGCTGTCAGGCAGCCGTGCTCTGGAAGGGAGCCCTCCCAGTTTCCCCATCTGTGAAATGGGCATCACTAACACGATCCTACCGACAGGTCCTGGGGCTTCTGTGAGGGTCCGGAGAGATGCTGGATGGAGCCCCCTGGGAATTATGAACTGCTAACTGGCCGCTGAAACGTTTCGAGCTCCCATGGTGCTCTGGGGCCTCACACAACATCTACATGCCCCTTCCCCCCATTTAATAGATGAAGAAACTGAGGCCTGGCCTTGGTCCACACCCCAGGCTGAGCGCCAGCTGTGGCAGGGCAGGGTCTGGGAGAGGAAGCAACAGTAATAATGATTACAGTCAGAGTTAGGTGGGACTTCCGGCCTCGACGGCAGACGTTCACACTGGCGCTCCCTGCCTGCGGTGTGCGTCCAGGGCAAAGGGTGGCCACAGATGTCACGGTCGGAGGGGGCTGGGTTCCCATCCAGCCTCTGATGCTCCCTGTGCTGGGCGCCCTGGGACGGTTGCTAGGCCTCTCCGAGCTTTACTTCCTTCCTTTGCAGAGAGAGAAACGCTAGCGACTTACAGGGTTGCGGGGACAGTCAGCGATTAGACTGGCACAGAAGGCACGAAAGCCAGCGTTGGTCTCCTGGGGCATTTAATAAGCTGTGCTGTTAAAATGTAAAAGTCTTTTTCCTGGAAGAGCTTCATGAGCAAACAGTGGACCCTGGGAGCCTGCAAAAGACCCCGGTGTACAGCTGCCTGTTCCCCCCCGGTCATCTGGTCCCCAGACACGCCTCAGCACCCGCGGTGGCCCTGGCCACTTCCTGCTCCTGAAGCAGCCTGGTTTCCTCGTCCCGGCTTTTGTGTGGGCTGTGCCCTCCGCCTGCCACCCTTCTCGTGGCTGACTCACCCTCGCCCTTCAGCTCTCAAGTTCAATGCCGTCTCCACCACTGGGAGTCCTGCTTGAGTTTCTGAGTCCTTTGTAAAACCTCGAATACTTTGGGAAGAGCCTGGGTTTCCTTAGTCATTGACACCTCGGTGTGAATTAGCACGGTTTGGTTTTGGTTTTTGTTTCTCTAACTTTGGCCCAGCTCCACCGATGGAGGGTGGAGGGTTGGGCGAGGGTGCAGGCCACCGTGGGGCACAGAGGACTGTGCCAGAGTGTGTGGGTGTTGGGGACGGGGTTGCAGTGGAGGCTCTCGGGCCAGTGGATGGAGGGGGCCCCAGGGCTTGGGAGCGCCAGGAGGTATCTGTCCGTTCAGACTTCTATCAAGAGTCAGACCTGCCCCACAAGGGCCCCTTCCCAGCTCTGCTCTCTGGCTGCGGTTGTGTGAAGCAGGCGCTCCTGGGCCAGACTGGGTTACAGCTCCCTCTGCCCCGTGCACAGGGCACTCACCCCGCACAGCTCCCCTGGGTCTGGCTCTGGGCTGGCAGGGATGGACCAGATGCAGGCGCTCACAGCCAGGGGTTGCGGCCCGGGAGGTGGCAGGTGGCACGGTCTCTTTGGGAAGCAGCGGTCACTCCCCAGCACCTGGTGGTAATACCCTTTGGGGGTACGTTCTGCGGGGCCCCCACTTTCCTGCCCCCCCGGCCTCTCTGCCCTTAAACTCTGTGGTGTGCACACGCCTCTTTGTGTGTGGAAGGACACGTTCTTCCGTTTCTCTTGCCGTGTGTCCTTGCGGCCCTTGTGTGCGTCGTGGGGTCTCGCAGTGACGGTTTACCTCTGCAGAGTTATCCTGACTCTACAGCTGGGGACGAGGAGGGGGAGCTCCCAGGGGGGACGAGATTGCTCAGGAATTGGTAAGGTGCGGGGGAGGGCACAGGCCCCTCTCCATGCAGCATCCGGGGGGTCTCTGCCGCATGCGATTGTCTCCATGTTTTGAACTGGTGCCCTGGGTGACGTCAGCCTCCTGCCCAGGCCCGAGCCACCCTGCAGAGGGCGCGCTGCTTGTGGGAGACCCAGCATTCAGCCAGACTGGCTCCCTGAGGTGGGTTTTGTGGCTGATCTCCCAGCAGCGAGTGCCCCTCACCCCCTGAGAACTCGGGGGCTGCCCAGCGAGAGATCTGGGGCTGCGGTCTGGACCAGCGTGGCCCGTGGTCACGCCACCCCCTCGGCCATCGCTCTGGAGGCCGGGCAGAGAGCAGAGAGAGCTGTGGGAAGCCAGGCCCGTGCTGCGATGGGGCGCGGAAGCCCGCCGTTGCCGCCAGCACCTGGAGACCGCGAGGGCAGCAGGGCTCCAGCCGACGGCACTGTGGACGGCAGGGCAGGGAGCGAGGGAGCCCTGGGGGCGCCGGGGGCACCTGAGACTCCCTGGGGGCGGCCAGGCTGGAGGTCCGCCCGCCCCCGATGTGCCAGTTCCGTGCGCTGGTGCGTTCCCGGCCTTCAGCCAAGTCTCCATCACTTGCAGCCCATGGTCCCGCCACGCGCAGGGCCTTTCCCGGTTTTCTGGAAACCCAGGCAGCGCCTGGCCCTCGCCCCGATTCGTAAGGCCCAGGAGGGTTTTGATTTGCGTGCTCTCTGCATAGGTATCGCCTTTCATCTTTTTTATTGGGTTCTAATCAAAGCTTCCAGTTCTGGGTTCGCCCCGGCCCCGGGGCTGCTGAGCTGGTGTGTCCGACCAGAGGAAAAGGCCAAGAGCTGGAGCCAGGAGACCCGCCTCGGGCGGTGTCTGGCTTAGTCCCTTGTCCTGGGCCGGCCACCCAGTCTCTGTGAGCCTCAGTTTCTCCTGTGGACACTGTAAACAAGGGGCACATAATTGTTTGATGCTGTGACCTCTCCTCCATGAACTCCCCCCTTTAGGGAATTAACACTCACGGGAGCTCGGGGCACGAATGGCTTGGTGTCTGTGAGCGCGCCCAGCCCGAGGCCCGGGGCATGGTCAGTATTTAATAAATACTGTCCACGGCCAAGGACGTCCATTCGTTAGGGGTCGGAGTCGGACCGGCCCTTAGAGCTGTGTTCAGACTGGCTGGCAGCCTCCATCCCGGCCCCGTGGGGGACCACAGCGGGGGGTGGAGCTGGGGGGGGGCTCGCAGGGGCGGCGGCCTGAAGCCGGCCCGGAGGGAGACCCAGCCTCCGAGTTTTGAAAATCAAGATGTGCACTGCCCAGACCAGATCTTTGCTCCTTTTGTCTCCATTCAGGACGTCACTTGCACAAGCTTCCCTGGG